GGGTCTATTGGGCTTGACCAATCTATTGGACTTAGGTGGTTAAGTTGGGGACAATATCGGTGCTAGTTGGTGGGTACTATGGCGGGGGTTCGGTATCGACATGCATAAGTGCTAGGGGGTAATCCTACATACCAACATACATAAGTGTTCGATAAAAAAAAAACACATATAAGTGTGGGTGGTGGGCCTATGCAGTGATTCGGTACCAACATGGCATAAAAGGTAGGCCCACTATAAATAATATTAATCTAATAGCACCGAGGCCTTTTGTAAAAATTTTATTCACATATCCGTATATTTTCATATTAAATTTTCTTTTCACAAAATGGGAATTATTTACTACAACGTTGAATTTAACTAGAGACCCAAAGACAAAAGGCAAAAGTTGTGATTGCTTATGATACTCTTTCAAATCGCATCATCTTCCACAATTTCAAGCCACCGAAGGCAATTGGATCACATAAACAGCAAGGTTTTGAAAGAACGAGTGCAATAACTGCTAGCTTTCTCCATGTCTGTGACTTTTTCTTCTTCTTTTAAATAGAAACGTGGGACTACACTAAAGAGGATACATCATTTATCTATAGAAAATTATGTGAAGTTTGTGTTTAATATATGGATCCACTGTTTCTTTTAAATTGTTCTCACATAATATATTACATATAATAGGAGCTCTTGATCTATACCAAATCCACCAGACGTAGGTTTTTTTGTTGGTTAATTATAATTAGTAATTTGATGAACTATGAGTTTCTGATTTTATGCTCCTTGTTGAATTATTTATTTAATCCTTTATAATATTTAAAATAGATATTAATGAGTAGTTATAAATTTATTATCAATATATATGGTCTATGTCTTTTTATATATTTTTGTTCAGGACTTTGCTCTAAAAGACCCTATTACACATTTTGTTCAAGGTTTCTAAAATCTCATAGCCGCCCGTAGTTTGTATGCTTCACAAATGCCAATCACCACTCAAGTCCTATGTTGTCAAACTATCGCATAGCTTGATTGCTCACACAACGACCACTTTCTCTATCAAATTTTAGTACCCGAATTGTGCACTACATTTCTACTTTAGGACTTGTATTGAAGTTTTTAGAAAATATCTAAGTGCTTTATAAAGAAGTAATTAATACTGCTTCTCTAGAAAGTTAAAACAAAATTCTACAAAATACTTCTAAATTTTTATGTCAAACGCACTAAAGAGATATGCACGCCTGAATTTGGATACTCAATGAACTATCCCCAACTCAACACGGACACAAATGATCAAATATAAAATGAGTTGAATAATATGGATTTAACCCACATTACACTTTCAGTCCCAATAGTCTCGTAAGGTTTACTATTTTGTATTTGCTCCATTTTTTTCTTTGCACAGCAAGATTATTTTACCCTTTATTTTTATTTTTCTTCTTTTATGTTTAGATTCTATTCGTGAAAGCTACAATGAGGGGTAATTGTGAGAGGTTATAATGAGGGGTTCTTAATAGCTCTCCGACTTGAACCCCCTTATTATAACCCAAAAATATAACCCCTCATTTTGGGTTAAGATCTGCCAAAAATATCCATTGCAGTCCAAAAACCAAATGAGAATCAAATGGGCTGCTGTGCTGTGTCGGGTTCAATAAACCCAAGTATGCCTAGACACAAGTTGTGGCTGTGGCCCCTACATTCTAGTGTTCTCACTTGGTTCGCCAATCCCAACACTAGTTATGGATAAGCATTTTCTCCCCCATTTTTCGAACCAAGAAAAACAAAGACCCTTTAAAGAAGCAAATCCAAAAACCCAAGTAGCCAACCTTACACAAACAAAAACCACCATTTTTGAGCTCCAACTATAATATGATTCTAATACACCACAAATCCAACCCGTCATCCTAAAGCTCTCACTTCCTCTACATCAAAGTCGTTTTTATCATTCTTCTTCTTCTTCTTCTTCTTCTTTTTACTTATAGAGAGTATCAGAGTCTTAGAGAGAACGCAAGATGTCGGTTTTGGCAGCAAATTCTCACATTTTGTATAGAGAAATGCATCACAGAGAGCATCAGCAACAGTTTTGGATCAGTGGGGGCAGCTTGTTGCTGCCCAAAGCTTCTTCTGGGTTTGGACTTTTGAACAGAAACAGAGATGATGGCAAGAAGATGTTGAAGTGGGACTTCAAAGTTGAGGCTTTTTGGAATGATTCAAGACCCACTGTTGTAGCGCTGGAAGCCATCAACGACTGTGATCACTTTGATCAGATTCTAAGCCATGCACAAGAGCAATCCCAGCCCATTATCATTGACTGGTCTCTCCCTTTCTCCCTTATCTTGTCTTGATGAATAAGTGAATGCCAGCTCACCTATTTTGTTCACATTATCTAAATATCTTACTTGGTTATAAACAGATGAGGTTTAGTAAACAAATGAATTTTGGTTAAGAAGTTCGGTCTTATAGGTTAGGCCAATTGGTCGAGGGAATAGGTTAGGCCAGTTGGTCGAGTGAATGGATCTTAGGATTTTTTATTTTTTTTGGGGACAGGATGGCAGCTTGGTGCCGCAAATGCATTTATTTGAAGCCTAAATTGGAGAAATTGGCTGCTGAATATGACACCAAGTAACTCTCTCTCTCTCACTGAAATTTGGTATAATTTTCATGAATTTGGCAATATTAAATTGCACAAATAAGAGACTCTTTTCATGTGATGAGTTGTGATCAATTTACAATTGTGACATTTTTGTGCGCACAACAGGATCAAATTCTATTATGTTGATGTCAACAAGGTACCTCAAGCTCTGGTTAAGCGTGGAAACATCTCTGTATGTCTGAATTTCACCCCCTTCCATAATTTTAATTTTACTTGGTTAATAAGTTGCCTAATTTTTATTAATAATTTTTTTATCTTCCTGTTTTCTCAGAAAATGCCAACAATTCAGGTGAGATTTTTCGATTGTGCAGCAAGACTTTTCTGATTGTATTGGTTAACAGTGCGAAACTTTTCTAAGTGGACTGTTAATGTAACGCAGATATGGAAAGATGGGGAGTTTAAAGCAGAAGTTATTGGGGGACATCAAGCCTGGCTTGTACTTGATGAAGTGAGAGAAATGATCCAAAAATTTGTGTGATGCTTGATGTTTTGGTCTCCCTATTTCTTGTAATATTTTTGTTTTCTTTCTTCTGCTAGGCCTCTGTTCTTGTAAACTTTTCTAACCACAGCATATAATGAAGAACACAATATGTACAGTCAAATTTCTTTCTATCTTTGTTTCCTTAAAGGTCTTTGTTAAGATGCACTCCAGTTTTGTGCTCAGTTTTCTAATCTTTGCAGCCCTAAGGAAAGTAAAAGAAACTTGTATGCGAAGTGCCAACATGCCTCAAGCAAGCAGACTTTAGATACAAAAGGCCAACTATATGTCAAAGTGGTAAAGGCTTTAGTTTAGAGTTGATTAATTTACTTGACAAAAAAAAAGTGGTATGG